TTTTAGGTAGGTAATAATGAGAATATCCGGAGTAATAAGGAACGTCATCTTAGGTGCTTCAGACAAGTTGGAAAAATATGGACCCAGGAGAATGGACCAAGACATATTCAAGACCTTGAAGAAAGCAGCGACGAGAAGAATACAGAAGGAAGCCTGACTGAGTCCAGGGGAGCGATTGTACGATGCCTACCCGGGATTAGATAAGTTAGTGATATCTTTATGCGAGTGTATTGATGGGATGCCGGCAGATACCCCAATCGGAAAAGCCTCTATATCAGGGCCATTAGAAGAAGCAATGTGAAGATAGAACGACATCAAACACCGGATCGGTAGTAGTACAAAGGATTGGTAAGATCCATTCGTTTATAAAAATGATGATCCAAAAAAAAGAGTAAGTTTGAAATTGCAAAGAAACCAATAACCCGATCCACGATCATAGAACACCATAGTAATATGGTGGAATAATGGAACACCTACCTGTTACCTGCGATGACTATTCCACAAGGGATTTAAAGGCAGGGAGGAAACCTTTTACGTTTCAAACCGTCGCGATTGCGACGTAAGAAAAAAGAGGACTACCAGAAAGAAATTGCAGCCAGAAGCCTGCCAATTACGCACGAGAAGGAAGATTGTCAAGAATGCAAGAATAGCCCTGGCGAAGCATTGAGAAATACCAGTGTCAGAATACCAAGTAATCTTGAAATCTTAACATGTGCGGATGATAGGAAAGGGCCTGGGATGGAAGAAAAAGGAAGCAACAATAGCGATTTGTGTCTGAACCAGCTGCACCTGAAGAAATAATCAAGCTGGGTACAATACTTACCTCTAACGAGATGTCAGCTCCAAGGAACAATAATGTCGAGATGCCAAAGAACCGTAAAGAAAATGCAACATGCGTGAATAGGAAGAGAAGCAAGAACAAATTAGCGCCTGAATCAACTACCTGCAACGAAATCAGTGAACTGAACGGTGCACTTACCTGTGATGAGACACTGGCCCTGAAGGACAACAATACTGGAATGCCGAGCGATTGCGGACGAATTCTAACAACCAAATGCAGCGAAGGGAGTCGCAATGTCAAAGAAACCCCAAACAAGACCCTAAAAGAAGGAATGCGAGAGGAATCAAAGAGGGATGTGGCTATGAGACCAATTGGGAAGGAAACAAGACCTACTAATGAGAAGACACCAGCAGCAAGCAGTGACGACATCAGAGAATCAAGCGACTATAAGAGTGGAGGCACGTATGGTGAATTTGAGTATAAAAGCGAGAAAGTGAAAGAAGAAGAAGGCTACTATACCGGGGAGCGATCAGGAGAGAAGATCACTGAGCAGGAGAGCGTGGTGAAAGAAACCACTGGTCGGGAAGAAGCATCCTCATTGGAGGTAGAAATCAATGAAATGGAGATTCCTATTCCCGCTATCTACTTAACTGTCCTGAAGGAAGTATCGACACTGGAAGAAGAGAAGGAGTCTACCATTGGAGAACCAAAAACGGATATGGACAATCTATGGATCCG